TTGCTTATTATCTCAAATATGTCTTCATATAAAGATTTCACTGCTCAGCCAGAGTTCACCTTTACTGCTTCCTGCTCCAACAGCCACACCTTTGGAAAATAAGCCCCTCCTCCTCAGGTTAAACTTTCACTTCCTGCGGGCTCACCTTCACTGAAAGTTAGCTGTGAACATTTACAGGTTAGCCGCTTTGCCCCTCATCCTCATCCTCTGTCTGAAAGAATCTCTTCTGATTGGCTGTCCCTCAAAAACAGAAGGTATTTCACCTCTATGACATCACAGGGATCCAAGAGTATAAAAACTGCTGAGCAGAGTGTTTGGAGTCGGCTGGTGGGTGTGTTTCGGTGTCTCACCACGTATTTGTGTAGCACGTGCTCGACGATGCGGGTGGAGGGGATCTCAAAGAGCAGCCGGACGGGTCGCTCTCGCTGCTTCACCGCCCTCCAGTTCTGCTGCAGCTCCTTCGTGGTTAAACTGGAACAGCCGGGCAAGTCCTCTGAAACAGGAAACACAGCGAGTCAGCACCCACTGCTGGACTGGCACACCTGTGGAAAGGCCGCATTATTAGGGGCGTGGCCTCTTTGACTCTGCGTGCTGCTTTAGCAGCTGCCAGCCTCTTTGAAACCCACCTCCCTGCCAGCTCCTCACTGTTTCTGACATGAACCATTGGCTGCAAACACATAAATATGTGACAGATTAAAGCTCAGCGTCACTGTTTACTCGGGTCTGAAATGTGAGACTTGATCTAAAAGTTTGGCGTCTGAGTTCAGACAGAAGAAAGAAGAAGAGGAAGGTTGAGAAGGTGAAAGACGACAGAACCTGGAGTCATTGTGTCCACCTCAGTCAGGTCTTCGGCTCCCTGCTGAGCTTCTGCCATCAAGTCCAAACTGCTGATCTGAGGCAAGAGAAGCTCGCTTATCCTCCCGATGTTCACTCAGTGATGGGCAGCTGTGTTTTCTGGCTCTGCTTCATCTCTTTTGGATTCTTTATTCCTGTAAAGATCAAAGCTGCCAGTGTGGCTCCTGCAGGTGAGTGAGGGGTTAAAAAGGCCCGAGCAGGCCTGCCGAGTGTCGCGAACAGAAGAATGTGCTGCACGTTTGCGTGCTGACAGACGAGTGCAGGCGGGAGGAAGTTGACTTCAGCAAACATGCTGAAGAGGAAGTGAAATGAAAGACCAGTGTGTCGTAAATGGTGTGTGAGAGAGGTGCTTGTTTTATGGCTGCGCAGCAGCAGGCGGGTGGAGTTAGCTAGCAGAAAGCAGAGTGTTTTGCATGCAGCTCCTCTCTGCTTCTCTAGGGGGAGCTCTGAAAGCTCTTTAAGCTTTAATGTCCATCTGCAGGTGCACAGGCAGGTCAGAGGTCACAGGCAGGTCAGAGGTCACAGGCAGACACCACTGAG